ATTCATGTAAATGTTATGATAATTGGTATGAATGAGAGTCCAATAATGTGGGCGTTGTGTTCATTTGAATGCCTTTTCATGTTTCTCGTCTAGAAATTCACTTGAATTTGCAAATAAATAGACATTTCATGTCATTTAAGTTCAGCTCATAAACCGATTACTTCTAAAAAATTAGTTTCGTTTCTAAACAATTAGTTATAATATTATTATTACTTTCAATTGGGATTACGTGAAGTGATTATTAAGTTAGCATATGATTACTGGAAGCAATAAATGAGAGTTTTGATTAATTTTTATAAATTACATAAATAACAAATGACAATAAACTCAACTACATGTATATAACTAGTAACGTAATCAGATTCAATCGATTTTATATAATTCCATAACATTTTGATTATGAAAAATAAAAAATATCATTAATTTTCAAGATAATAAATAAGTAATTAATTTAGAAATATTTCACTGAAAGGTATCAAAAGGTATAAAAAGCAACAAAAATGAGTTAAACTGAAAGCCTATGATTAGCGCAAAAGTGAACCAACGCGTGAATACATGTTTTGTCGGAAAATAGACAATTTGTGCAAACATTGAATGATTGGTTTGTAATTCCTTTTCAAAGTTTATTATTATTATAATTCTCAAGGATTTCGTCAAAAATCGTGTCAAATATCGGATACTTGGGATGTAATGCTTGTGACGAGGAATGACTGCGACAACCGATGCAATTGATTGTCATGTATTGCAGGGAATGTTGTGGTGTACCACTCGTATGAATGGCCTCTGTTTCAAATCAAATCCATATATAAGTTATTCATTACGTGTTTCAATCAAGTAATGTGTCAAATGCTATACTAGAATAGGAAGTTGGGAACCCTTGTCCGACCCGACCCTTAAGGGTTTCGGACGGGAAAGGGTTTCCCATTGTAGAAATCAAAACCCTTAAAAAGTGTAACCCCTTAGAAAACCCTTATAATTTTCTCACAGTATTTATATTTTCCTCGACCCCCAAAAAGTCGATAAATTGTTGTTTATTAAATCTAATTATGATTTTTGTAAACTTTAAAGCATTATATTAATGTAGGTTTAATGTTAAATTTCAATAAATGTTCGTTTGCTGTTAAACTTGCTGATTTTGTTGATTTATATTTTAAGGGTTTTGTCGGGCTTCCCGGGTTAAGGACATTAAGGGTTTGGGCCGGGTTTTAAAAATTGGTCTAACTTTGTCTCTATGCTATACAACTAAAAACAATTTTAAACAATATTTCCAATTATTAGAATTAATTCGTGACAATTAATAAACACTTGCAATCTCAATTATTCTATAAATTACCATACTACCTTACTGCACTGTACATACTTTATCTTAGACAGTATCCTATATTATAAGAAAATGTTAAAAATATAATACTATATATTGCTAACTGCAATTTTAGATTCTTATCAACATTAACAGTATATCAATGATTACTAATCAAATCATTGATTACAAATAATTAATACTATAATTAGTAATGATTCATTACTGTAAACTGTACAGTGTAAAGGATAATATACAATGAAATTGTGTGCAAACTATTTGTAAGATATGTTACTGTACTAAATGAGAGGCTGTGATGATTTGAATTGATGACAAATATGAATTCATGAAATTCTCATGAATTCATATTCATTGATATACTGTTAATAAGAGCATTGAATATTCGTATTGACAAGAAAGTAGTGAATTTGTGTGGATCTGTAAATCATAAGAAAATGTATATAAATGAAGAAAACGACGGCAAACCTGAGATCGAGGGAAATCATATGAGCGACGAGAGTGCGTCCCTCGCCCTGTGCTGAGACAGACCAACGCGACTCATATAAGTAACCGCTTTCTATGATCTCAATATTATTGAGACTATTAATCCTCCACTTCCTCTCAATCACAATGGTTTTGATGGGAAGGAAAGCACTGGACTGTAGTCTCATTATAAACGTATCGCTATTTGTAGACAACTCTTCACTAATACTCCACTCAATGATTGTCGGATCGATTGAATGCCTTTTGAGAGAAATTACAATTACAATCATATAATAGTCTAAATCGTGTGATAATAACCTCTCGTAAAGAATACGGTTTAATATATCGTTAGGTCCGCACTCGACAACAGCTGTGGCCTCGTGTTTGTGAGGGAGTGGACAGTCTGTGTCAGGACTTGAAAGTGAGTACGTGTTGACTGAAATGATGAAAAGTGTGGGACAGCTATCGATACAGAATTCGAGGCACTTCTGGGCGTCAAACAGTTGCTGATCGCCATCGCATTCACATAGAGATGGTGTCCAACAAATGGCCAGATTATGACTATTCATTTGATTCACATCTGAATGACTGGATATGAGGGCTAAAAACCTGAGGATTATTTGGAGGACACATCTCTGGATGTCAGGGATGGCACACAATGTGAACTCTTTCTTGTTTTGTTTGAAAGATGTGATGATTTGTTGAGAGAGCAGTTGTTTTGGTTTTTTGCTGTTTTGGTCAACAATTTCTCTAAACCATAGTTTAGTCACATCTGCGATATCATAGACACAGACATTAGAGAAGTCGACAGCACTTCCATTCTGTGCCTCATCTCTCAAACTCATTATACGAGACTTTACGCCAGATTTGCGGAAAATGCCCACAGATTTGATCCCTTTTCGCGATAAGAAGAGCAAACACTTCTCAATAAAAGCCGGTAATGCGAACCCACTGTTTGACGCCTGTATCTCATCTAAATGACAGCCAAAAAGTGGGCTCCGGGTCTCTGTCCCGTCTAATAAGTTTGTTTTCGACACATTATTTACCCAATTATTGTTATTATTAATATTATTATTGTTAATAACGTTATTATTATTATTATTTCGATTATTATTATTATTATTACTTTTATTATTAATGTTGTTGTTTTTAAAACCAATTTGTTGTTTCTGTTAGGAATATATAAGAATTCCTAATTAAACATAAATTCTAAAAATGTTTAAAATTTAAATCACATGTATTAGAGTAAAGGAGTGTTTAAAGTAATCATTTAAATAATTATCGTTAAGGTTAATGAAAATAATGATAGCTATCGTCAAAATATACTACACTTAAGTAATTACTGTAAAGAATTCGATATAAAAAATGACTCCACCTTTGATTCACTAATATCTAGATTTCAGAAATTTTCTTAATATATAATTTGCTATCAATTGAATTCAGTTTAGCTTATTATGTGCTATAAATGGCAAAATAAAATATACTTTTAAAAGACAAAACACAAAATGTTTTGATAAATACTGACATAAAACAAAGAGACTAAATATTTGTTGACACATAGACCTGAATTTGTGTCAATTTTTTAATACAATTAAATCTAAAAATAATTTTCTGCGAATAAAGGGATTATTCATTAAAAGGTTTGAATTAAAGCAGCTTTTGTTTGACTGATTATAATAACACTTATTATAGTGTTTTCATTGAACTAAATATGAGTTCATTTGACTCGAGTTTGCTTTCGACCCACAAAAGCATACTATAAGTGCTTTCTATGTAATTGTGATTCTTGTGAATAACTCTTTATATGAGTGATCGTAGAGTTGATCCAAAGGATCCCAACCATCACAACGAGTGCAATGTTCTCCACTGTACTGTATAATCCTTGTTAGGTATGTCCGCCTGAGCCGGGAGTCAGCCCTCACTCAACCCACTGTATGTGCGATCGCCTCAACCCTTCTAACCCCGCATTCAAACTATTTTCTAATATATGCTGTAATTGTTATGTAATCTGAAAAACTATTATATAAACCGCATATAAAACGCATAAAATATTATAAATTAAAGTTTGAACGCCTTCTCAAAAGTTGGCATTACTTTCAAAATGCTTTTAATGTTGAAAACAAATCAAATTATATAATATTAGAGCGTTCAATAAAATGCCACATCTTTTCTAATCTTAATAAATTGTATGTAAATTATAATATATAGCCACACAATAATAACCATTTATTTGGATTATTATACTTTTAAAAATGTACGGTGCATTTCAATGGTAATATTTTCAGTGACTACCAATATTGTAACAAAAACTTTAAAAACTTTGTTCAAGCGATGGACTGATTTGAATGAATGCCCTAATAATAAGTTAAACAGACACACACATGCAAACAAATTACTTAGCTTAAAAAACAAGTTTTTGTTCACAAAAAAAAAGTTTTTAAAAGTTTAAATATAACTTATTTTCGATGAAAACTATAGCTAATTATAAATATATTTTGGCAATACTTGACAACTAATTAAATGTGTTTTGAGTTATGATTGTAAATAAAAATACATTTGTTTTGCGGTTTCTATAGTTTTGATTCATTGATAGATAAGTGCAATGAATATATCGATAATATAATGAGTAATTTGATGACAAATGAATGGCAAAGACATACGATTTGGTGGATCTGTTGGGCAGTCATGAGCTCAGTGTCCAACTCATCGTTGTTTTCATATTCACTCAATCGGTTGTAACTCATGTCTAAAGTGTTGGTCATATTAGTGACATAAGTGTTGGTCTTGTGGTGGGTCTTGAGGTGACTGGAAGTACTGCTCATTGTATTGACATTACTGTCACTATTGGTGTGAAGTGTGGGCGAGTGAGAGGACTGGGAGGCAATGCTGGCCAGCGATTGGCTCTTCGATTCGGTCATCCATTCAACCGATTGTTTGCCATTCAGTCCACTATTGGATCCATTGCTCGACTCCGTGTCCTCCACGTGTCGCACGTGACAGTTGGGAGACATTTGTGTCAACTCGTGAGTCAATTGGTTGGACAGAGTGTCGCAATAGATCTGAAGATCACTGATAGTGTGGTAGTCGTTGGGGTCATCGAAAGGGTTGGTGTTTGAGTTGACGTCCAAAGTACAGGTGATCTGCTTCTCGGCATTTCGCAGATATCTATACATCGACTCATATGTCATGCCATCTGAAGAAGCCATGGTTGTGGTCATCACTGTCTCACTCAATGGTATCTATAGCTCCAGACAAGTGAACCTCATTTGCC